AAAGAGAGATGAAAAAACCGGTTTGTACCTTCCTTAAAAGTTGTCCTAGCTCGCTATTCTAACATCTATATGCAATCTTCACACTGCCGTACTCTAACGGAACTATCAACTCTATGCTTTCATCTACTCCATCTATCGTATAAAAATTACCACTCTAGTCTGTTATTTGAAATTAGCATCTTCAACTACTAAAAAAAATGTTTATTCAACCCATGAAAAATGTAATAATACTACGTATAAAAAAAATTAAAATGGATTTGTAACGTTAATAATCGATTGTGAGTTGATATTTTTCAATTTTTAGACTTAAAAAATAGTTACGTTATATCGAGGTGGAAGTTACGTTATATCGAGTTACGTTATATCGAGTTATGTATGACTGTAAATATAGCTTACATATGCCTAATGAAGTCATTCTTGTAACGAACTTTTAAGCAGACGTACTAGCAGCAGTAACAGCAGTAGCAGTAACAGTAGTAGCGGCAACAATTCAGGTAGCGAGAAACCAATTGCATTCGTGTAGCCGTGACAAAGGCTAGAAACCTCTGTCCGGTTACGACAGTATCCAGTTTGTGTCTTGACAGTGGCAACCCTTATTTCAGTGCGTTTAGATGCGTCGTTTCAAGCAGTGAAAAGCATCCTCAGAATGGCTCATAAACTTAGAAGTGAAACTCTCGTTAAATTTGTGGGGCCTGAATGTGAAGTTATCACTGGAGCTCGTCCTCCGACAATACGGCAAGTGCTAGCTACCTTTTACTACCAGCATCGATCCGCAAGGCTTCCGGTCAGATTGAGTGCTAGAAATACCGCTAAACAGGTGTTGTGCTTCTGGCAGAAATCAAAAATACCGGTAGTTCAGGAAATTCACTGTATTAGGAAAATTGAAACACTGCATACCGAGTTGTTTGCATTTTGCAAAAATATGACACGGGCAAATAGCAAAGCATAAATAAAACGCAAATCCCATTTTAAAACCAAGCTTGACGACCTGTTTGACATTGCAAAGAGCATGGCAATACCGGAAATGGAACGAAGCGTACAGCAAGAATTGAATCCTGGTGTAAGACAGGCGATTCTCGAAGACATAGCATTTCTGAAGGACCAGAAAGATGGACAACGACGCGTAGGTTCCATTGCTGGCATCGAAGGGGTTCTTGCTACCAAAATGCAGAAGAAGGTGGCAACAGTGAAGCGTAAAGAAGAGAGGCAAAAGCTCTTGGCAGAACGTCGAAGAAAAAGTGAAAATATGTTGACAACTGGTAATATTCAGTTTCTTTGCTTGATTACAGTGCAGTAAATTTATTTCATTATAACCGACTTCATAGAACTCGACCTATCCGATGATGAGCCTGACGATGCAGACAAGCATGTGAAGCATCGCTCACGACGAGGAACTCAAAATGTTGTAACCCCAGAATTATCCCACACACTACTAAAAAGTCATGTAAATTTCGGTTCCCTGAGACCGACACATGTAAGCGGACCTTTTGACACAAGAATCAGTTGAAAGAAACGTGAAAATCAATGCAGCAAAAGTCAGCACAGATTCTGCCACAGTTATTCTGGCAGCAGTTGCAAAATCGTTTGGGGTTGATCTAGGGAATACTAACATCAACCGTTCCACTATGCATCGATTGCATGAGCAATACCGGTCTGAATCGGCCTTGAAATTGATGGAGAATTTCAGTCCCGATGAAATCCTTACAGTTCACTGGGACGGTAAAGTGGTGAGTTCTTTGATAGGGAAGGAACTGGTCGATCACCAAGCAGTACTTGTGAAAAGGAAAAAGCACGACACAGCTTCTTGGCATTCCATTTGTTGAAAGACGGACAGGAAAAGCCATCGGAGAAGCTGTTGTGGAATTGATTAAAGCTTGGAATTTCACACTTAGAAAAATTGATGTAAATTTAGGTGCCCTGAGACTGACATATACGAGTGTCAATTTTGACATAAAATTAAATCATAATAGACGCGAAATTTAGCTCAATCAAACGTACTTTTCGTTGAGTAATGAACTTTTCAGTCTCGGAGCACTTAATTTTACATGACTTATTTTTTACGTATTATCCTTTAAGTCAAAGATGGTTTCCGTCACATGTAAAATTAGGCATTTCTAAGTGTGTTAACTGATCGAATTAAAGCTATATCCTTTGACACCACCAGTGTCAATACAGGTATTTATGATATCTTTTTAACTTTATTTCCACACTAGGTCAATTGCTGAAGTCGTTACTTTCCTTTTTTGCTACTTAATGATTTTCAAACACGGTTACTAATTAAAGGCTGGAAGAACGGTGCAGCTTCGTGGATAGAGCGCCAACTTGAGGCGAACCTTCTATGGCTACCCTGAAGGCACCATATTTTAGAGCTAGCCCTAGAAAGTGTCTTCCTTACCATCATGGGGCCGACAAGCGGACCCGACATTATTATATTCAAGCAATTTCAAAGCCACTGGAAGTCAATAGATAAGGAAAAATAAGAAGTTCCGCTGACATCCGAATTACAAGTTTCGCGGAACACAACATCATTGGGAGTATTTTATCTTAACTCATATGATAAGAAAATGTTATTATTGCAATGATATTTCGTAGCTTGGACAGCCGAGGGATGATAACCGTGAGTTTCTGGAACATAAAATAATTTTTTTGGGCAAAGTTCCTCCAAGAGGAATTTATTTCCGTGCACCGGGACCTGTGCATACGGCGCGCTGGATGACACGGGCTATCTACAGTCTAAAGATGTATCTCTTAAGGGCGCAGTTTCATCTCCACAAAGACCCGGCCGGATTGCTTGTAGTATGCGCTTTCATTGTTGGAGTGTATGTGGAAGCGTGGTTATCCGCACCCTTCGCTGCATCTGCTCCTTGCAGTGATCTCAAGTTTATAGCGGATCTTAAGGAGTTCGAAAGTTTCAATCCAGATGCTGCTGGTGCTGCGCAAAGAAAATGTTCAGGCCATTTCTGGTATCTAAGTGAAGAACTAATTGGTCTCTCTGTGTTTGACACTAGCTTATTTTTCGAAGAATGAGAGAAGCTTGTCCAATCCATTCGAACAAGGCAAGGCAATGATGATCCGATAAATATTCCGACGGAATATTCTTCTCACTGATTTGAGTACAATTCCACTGGACCAGCTGGCAACTACCAATACTGTGGAATTTTTTAGAGTATTGGGGATTGATATCAGCTTCTTCGATGAACCAGTAAGTGAATGGAGTACTAATAAGGAATACCAAAAAGGAGAAGAAATCGTTACTCGGCTTCAAGTGGTAAACGACCACGCAGAGAGAGCAATCAAATTGTTGCAGGATTATAACAGAAATGTGACAAAAAAAGAAAAAGACTTCCAGAATCTGCTGTTAAATGTGGAAGATTTGCGGAAGAAACTTCCAAATAAACAAAAGACAACACTACAAAACTTTGTTAATAAGTAAAATAAATTAATTGGATTGCCTTCATTACTTTGCTTTAATCTACTTTTGAAATAACGACTATATTGAACCAAAACACATTAAATGGAAAACATATCGCTTATAAACTACACAAAAATAATTATTATGCATATACACTATGTTTTGAAAAAGTTGCTTACACCAAATGAGATTAATCTGACGTTCCATGATCTGTTTGAGGAATACCAACAAATGATGTATTTTTACCTATGACGCATACACTACGGAAGCGTGCTTGCCGTGGCATGGGGGGTCTCCTACACTACCATTCATTTAGAGCCGATGAGCGACCTCTAAACGTTAACGTACGAACTTCAAATTTTAATATGTTTGTTTTCTAACCAAAACGAACATTTTAAAAGATTGAATTTACAAATTGGTCGAATTTCAGAAAATAAGGGACGGCCTAACGAGGAGTCAGTCAGCCTTTATTTTCCTAGGTAATTTTTTTTTAAAGTAAAGACGCATAATCTTCAGCAAAATGTAGTTGTAGATTTTTTTCTATTATTACATTTTTAGATAATCGGAGAAATAATGAAAACAGCAAAAAAGGGCTATCTTCCATTTATTTGCACTTAATTAATTTTGGTATCCGTTGCGTATTTCGACTACAATGTGCAGTCTTTATCAGTGTCATTCCCACTAAAGAACTTATCAAAATCTAACCCCCTTAAGTACTCATCCCCTAAGTAAAAAAGTCAAGATCACAGGTATAAAAATGAAACTACAATGTGTTTAATCGGAACCTACCTAACTTATGAAAACCAAAGATTTAAGTAAACTAAGGCCATCATAATGAAATAATGAAATTAGGTTGTTAGCGGAATGCTTAAATAAAACAGCAAAAAAGGTTACCTTCCATTTAATTCCACTTAATTAATTTAGATTAAGGGGTTTAGATTTTAATAAGCTCTTTAATGGGAATGACACTGATGAAGACTGCACATTGTAGTCGAAATACGTATCTGTCATTAGACTGGCCCACCTGGTCTTGCTAAATTGCCATCCTGCTGGATCACTGTGCACTGCTCTGCTCTACTGTTAATTCCGATGATGTCATGTGCATCCATGTGATAATGGTACCCTTCACTCTGCGCTCCAGCTTTCCGTATCCTAATAACACTCAAAATAAGTCTGCAGTGATATTCCACTATTCCGAAAGAAAGAAATCGCACCCACTAATTGAAGATTTCGGCGTTATATTGTTCAATAGACTTCTTTCAATATACAACATCATGACTCATCATCATCATCATCATCATTCTTTTCGTTCACTCGTGCGTAGGAGCACGCAACTACTTTAGTACTCTCTTCATCACATCCCGGATAAGATGACTGTTTTCAATTTTGGGGTTTTCTTCTTCTTTTCTTTACAATGTAGATTGTGAGATTGCATTTTACGACTTCTGCCCGTCCCACTCCCGGGGCGTTAAATAGGACCCGGATTTTTCTCATAACTTTGGAACTGTATTTGCACACAGCAGGGTTAATCTTTACTGACGCATAAATTCTATTTCAGTGGCAAAGTTTTTGTGTGTGTGTGTGTGTGTGTGTGTGTGTGTTAAATGTAGATGTTTATGTGTGGGCGTGTGTATCTCTGTACAACCATCTTTCAATCGTTCAAAATCGTGTTTTATTGAAATTCACTTTCCTCCCGGTCTTCCCGCCATTAGCCTAAAAGTGGTATTGTTCTAGTTATTCAGCTATCAACTATTGTGTTTACCCCGATTATTACTTCAAATTCATAATATAACTATCGTTAGACTCTTACACTGTGTGTGTGTGTGTGTGTGCTGCATGGTTTAAATACAAAAAATAGCTTTTCCACTTACACGACTTTCGATTTTGTTTACAACTAAGCTTCTAGTAAACGAAAAGAGTAACGAATGCTGTGCCTCCCCCTAGCCACATCCACGTCCATCGTTGCTCTCGAATTCCTCCATACCGTTCTCGGAGACATTGGCATTTAAGTAGAAGAAGAAGAAGCACTGCTCTGAACAACATAAATACTGTACACACCCACTCCTCTGCCCCCAGGTTCTGCAGCCACTTTACCTTTAGTAGGTCATCGTCATCCGCTGGCGTTAGGAAGCAAGCAACAGAATCGACGCTGGCAAGGCTATCAGTAACCGAGTCGGCACAAAGGACGATACTGCCACCGTTGCTGCTGTTGCCATTATAGTTACTACGATCAAGCTGCCAACGATGGACGGCCATTGGAATTGGCCAGTATCTTGGAGTTTACTGATGCTGCCGTTGCTGCTAGCGTACAGCCAAGGGCCAACAGCCAGCCAACATCGACGGGAGGCCATCGACGGCCAGAGCCGGTGGGATGACGAGGCGGATGATGCTGCAACGGAGGAAAGTGAAATGGAAAACATGAGAAAATTGAATTTTTATGCATGTTTGACACCACCGACTGTTGCCACCGTCGTCGTCTGATCCTTTGGGGGGAAATGGAATGGGCGTTCAAGTTACTGCACATCACGTAATGTTATTCTGAGATTCGCATACCGTGTGATACAATTGCTATAGTGAAGACGACGACGACGACGACGACGGTCGGGTTTCAGTTTCTTAATTAATTCAATTACATATTAGAGTCACATTTGAGCATACACATACATGGCGATACAGAAAGGACATTATGGCAAGGGTGTCCGTAATACAAACGTGATCGAATCGGATCTTTATGGCTGGGTGCAGTCGAGAATACCTAGACGGCGACAATGGGTGGATACACAAAGGGTTGATTATTTTTGTTCAAAATCAACATGTTCGATATTATCGAATACCTATTCTGAGCACATCTAACGAGTTTGTAACGAGGAGAAAACCCATTTGGCAATACTTGTTGAAGTGTATGCATTACAATTTTCACATGGCAATGAAGCGCTTGTAGATTGGTCGAGTATTTTTCCAGAGAATACACTGGAGTCGCTTTTTAGGCGGGGGAATACGTGCTACGTAAATTCCGAAGTCCTCGTAAAATCTTAAACTCGCCTAAATTGCAACCAATCGAGATTTTTACAAATTACATTGTATTTTTTTAAGTGTAAAAACCCATGATGTCTCCCGTACCTTCTGCACATAAGAAAAGTTAGTTTACACCAAGCAAAGCATTTTTTTTACGCAGTGTTCCTCTTTTAACGAAGTAAATCCGAAGACAACATATCAAGAAGACTGGCAACTCTTCCATTTTCTCAAACGACCGACAGGCACATTCGCGTCATCTGCCGCTCAAAGGTAAATGTTCCGAACGTATTGGATAGCAAAGGTTCCATCCTCAGAAGAAAGGTTTGTATATTTGCTCTGGTTTCTATGCATTGCTTCCACCTTCACTCGAGCGCAGCGCTACTGTGTCTGTCGCTCGGATTTAGGCAAAGTTGCCAGTCTTCTTGATATGTTGTCTTCGGTAAATCCCAAATAACGAGGATTTTTTTTTACGAAGTAAATTCCAAACTACGAGTTTTTTTTTGTTGCGATTCTGGGAAACTAGGAAACACTGTCAAATACTCAACAATATGGGTATTTTTGGAATCAGGTTGACGGGTGTGTTCAATCTAACCCCCACTGGCTGGCAGTGGTATTATGGAAGAAATTTGCTTACAACAATCCTTTCCGGGAGTTAGAAAGCGATAGCTCTACATATGCAGATTCAGCAACCCATTTCAGAATGCCTGGTAAGTCACGTCCATTCCAAGGTTACTTTCACATACAATGAGCCCCGCATGCAAACACTACCGTTATCATATGAATAAAGGTACTGCAAACACACTTCCTGATTTCGAAATGTGATGTTTCGAAATCTGGCACGTATTTAGTAATATATGGAAATATGCATTTATGATTGATTTATAATCAGATGGATCTCAGCAAATTCTGCCTCCGAAAAATCATCGATTTTTTCACTCGTGGTAATCAAAAAAAAATCTTCCGCGTTGTTTCTTACTACCGAACACAACATTTTGAATCACATGTGAAGTTTTTCATTTGCACCGAATTTTTGCCTAAAACCTCATTCGCCTGCATCCTCTGGAAGGCAGAGCGCCAGCACCAAGAACCGAAAAAAACATACCCGGTAAAACTCTTCTTGGGTGGCAGGCAAAGCACCAAAAACAAGCGAAAAGAAAAACCGACCAACGCGACACCACAACAACACAGCTACTCGAAACAAATTCTTGTCCCAAAGTTTTCACGTTAATTACAATATCACTAAAAAGCTTCCTAAAACGTGAGAGATCATAATTTACACTTGACTTGGCACAATTTAAAAATATGCGGAAGACAGATGAAATCAGCACCAGCTAAAACAAAACCAACCGTTTGCGGGCAGAGCCTACTGCGTTTTTTTCCTGGAAACAGGTTGACGTGTAGGGACCGGAAATCCATGTCACTCCATGCACCAATATTGGGTCATCTTTTTATTCAGTGTGCCGCAAGTTTGCCAATTGTGCCGGTCATAGCGCATTGTTTGTAAAATATCCATCTCGGCAACCCGATATTTCTGACACCTTAAATGTTTTGGTTTGAAATCGGAATCAGGATGACGTGGGAAGTGGCGGGAGTGCGAAATGTTGGTGTTCATATGTTAATAAAAGTCCTGTGTTGTAGGGTTTTATAATGCCCTCAAAGGCAGACCAGAAACCTAGCCTTTCGTGATGTGAAAAGCAACGGTCTAATAGCGGCCGGAAAGAGTGTGGGGGAACATTGTTGGGAAACATTATTGGAGACAGACTGTAAAGGATGATGGACATGACTTCTGTAGTTTGTTTTGCGTGAGTTGCAGCATTATTTGAATTTAAGGGTAATGGGGTCTGATTAACTGCTTCTTTCTCTTAAGCCCACTCTAGAACCTGAATTTCGTATTTAGATCTAAAGGGCGAACACGAAATTATTGCGACACCGAAAATGTCATGCCAATTTTCTTATAATGTTTAGAATCAAACCAAAATTTTAGGGTAGTTTTATACATATATTTACTTCAAAAATCAAAAGAAAAGTTAATCGACTGAGCCTTGAGTGTAAAATTGAACGCATTTTCGCTTGATGCCCTCCATCAAAGTCTTTACAGTGTCATCCGGTACCAGTTTCTCAGTTTTTTTTTTTCCATTTTCTTAACATGTCCTTCTCGTCTTTGACTGTCTTCTTGCTCTTCCGAAGTTCCCGCTTCATTATTGCCCAGTACTGCTCCACCGGGCGCAGCTCCGGACAGTTTGGCGGATTCATGTCCTTTGGAACAAAATGGACAGAATTGGCCTCATACCACTCCAGGACACTTTTAGAATAGTGGCATGATGCCAAATCTGGCCAAAAAAAAGCGGAGCTTCGTCGTGCTGCTGCAAGAACGGCAAAAGGCGCTTCTCGAGGCACTCAGATTTGTAGATCTCGCCATTTACTGTGCCCTTTGTCACGAAAAGCTCGCTCCTCAGTCCGCAAGAGCAGATGGCCTGCCAAATGAGATATTTGGAGGCGAACTTCGACATTTTCTTCTTCTTAAATTTGTCGTCCACATCGAACTTGCTCTTGCCGGTTGAAAAACTCCAACCCTGGAATTTGCTTAAAATCGGCTTTTATATACGTTTCGTCGTCCATCACACAGCAGCTATATATTGTCAGCATCTTCTCGTAGAGCTTCCGTGCCCGAGTTTTAGCCGTCGATTGTTGCCGCTCATCGCGGTTTGGGAAGTTCTGTACCTTGTATGTATGTAGTCCAGCTCTCTTCTTTGCATTCTGGACGTAGCTCTGCGACATGCCGATCTTTTTAGCCAAATCACGGCTTGAGACGTTGGGATTTGCTTTAATCATCCGCTTCACCTTTCCCTCCGTCTTTTTGTTCTCCGGTCCCGGTTTTCTTCCAGCTCCTTTGCCGTGGTCCAACGTCAACCGCTCCTGGAACCGCTTCAACACTCTGGAGACGGTTGAATGGTGAATGTTCAACATTTTTCCCAACTGCCGGTGCGACAGGTCAGGAAATTCCAGGTGTTTGGAAAGAATTTGAAAATATGTATCCTAGCCACGAACACACGTATAAAATTTATAATTTGGTTCGGACAAATTATTTTTAATCTAGATAAAACATTTCTATGGTTTTGACGGATGGGATTGCTGCACATTTGAATCGGCCGTTATGGATTCTCAATCAAGAGTTAGGTTTAAGTGTTATGTTGGTTTGTCGGTGAAATTCTGTCAAATTCCCCTCAATATGGGTATTCTAAGAATCGTGCGACAGGGAAGCTTGAGTTTAAAAAAAAGCATGCTATATTGTACGTAGCCCCCCCCCCCTATTATCTAAGGGGCTACCCCCTATGATTATCTCCTTATACCCCCACACTAGCCCCCACATGCCTAATTTGGTTCCATTTGCTTGATTAGTTCTCGAGTTATGCAGAAATTTCTGTTTCATTTGTATGGGAGCCCCCCCTTACAGAAGGGGGAGGAGTCTCAAACCATCATAAGAACCTTCCACGGCCCCAAAAACCCCTGTATACAAATTTTCACGCCAATCGGTTCAGTAGTTTCCGAGTCTATAAGGGTCAGACAGACAGACAGACAGACAGACAGACATAAATTAATTTTTATATATATTTATAGATAGATAGATAGATAGATAGATAGATATTGCGGCTTTCAGTTAGAGAAAAACTGAAAAATACTGACAAATACCCCAAAATCGGAATCGGGGTGACGCTATTTTGATATCCAAGATGGCAGCTCCCGGTTATAGAAAAACTGTGACAAAGTGTCAAATACCCCACAATATGAGTATTTTTAAAATCATCCTGCAGATTACCTCATAATTGTCTTGCAATTCAGCTCATAATAATCCTGAAGCTTTCTTCTAAATGGCTGGCAAATGACTTCGATAATGCGTACCACCGGTACTTCGCGTACTTGAAGGTTATAAAATAGACCCTTCACGCAAGTGAAAGTGGTCCTTAGCCTCTTGCCCAGTAGCTCCTATCCCTTCCACCCCGCGGCACCGGCTGGTGTACGAGTAACCTTAGGGAAGATCGGGTAACCAAACCCGGTGGGAACTTCAATCGAATTATAACTGATGTAAGAACTCAGCACTCACCAACTACCTACTCGGAGATCAAACATACAGCACCCGGTCGACTCAGGTGACAAGAGCAAGCTCCGGAACACCCAGGGTCGGCTAGCTACCGGGTAATCAGAGGGTTTCGCGATACAAAAACGAAGAACTTTCACTTGTCTTTAATTGCATTTATTGGCCACTTTCTGTATTATGTGCGTGTTGTTCTATGTTCATAGTTTCGTGTAATATGTGTCGTGTAGCCTAATCGCGTTGTTCACTGTACCGGTACATACCGCTGGTGCCGTTGATGG